AGTCAGGAAGGGGAGTTGGAAAAGAAAGCTCAGTTAAGGAGGTGTTTCTAAAAAGAATTTAAAATTGATTCGGCAGTATTAGTTTTCAATATTATTATTATAATTTTTTTAGTATTTAGTATTAGTATTATTATTTCTTGCTAGGAAAAACACTTAAAGGATAAGGGCACATTAAGACAAAGTGCACTTATTCTATTTGCCCCTTTGCACTGACCTAAAGTCCCCTTCTACAGATACATACTTACCTGGATCCAATGGTTACGGCCTCTGGTGTTTTTTTCACAGTCCTGGTTGTCCCTGTGCATTACAGCCTCATAGACTTCTATGGGGTTATGTCCTAAGGGCCTGTTCACATGAGTATCAGGTCCGGATCAGGTGCGGATCTGCAGACACGGTGCTATGTGTTTTGCCGCATTTTTGATGCGTTCCAGTTAAAAAAAACTGCTGGAGTGGGGCTGTCAGTATGTTAGCTGCAGTGCAGTGCTTTTTTTGACGTGTTTTTGACGCGTTTTGCGATTCCGGACCGTTTCCTGACCGTACAAAATGTGACATGCAGTATTTTTCTGTCGTAACCTGAACGGACTGCGCACGTGAGAACTGTAGCCCATAAAACACATAGGGATACATTGGAATGCATTTTTAGTGCAGGAGCGTACGGATCAGGTCAGCACAGAAAACGGACGTCGTGTGAACAGGCCCTTAGGCCAGAGACAAAGCGAGACGCTGGGAGACAGCCCTATACACTTCTATGTAATATGCAGGACAGGACGCCAGTGTTGTGTTGGAGGAGACCATGGAAGCTGCTGCAGTGGATTTAAGAAAAGACAGACAGGAGAGAGACAGCAAAGAGAGAGAAGAAAGACAGCAGAGAAAGTGAGAGAAGAGACAGCAGAGGGAGAGAAGAGAGACATCAGAGAAAATGACAATAGACAGCAGAGAGAGAGAGAAGAAAGACAGTAGAAAAAGTGAGAGAAGAGACAGCAGAGAGAGAAGAGAGACAGCAGAGACAGTGAGAGAAGAGACATCAGAGAGAGAGAGAGAAGAAAGACAGCAGAGAACGTGAGCGAAGAGAGCAGAGAGAGAGAAAGGCAGCAGATACAGTGAGAGAAGAGACATCAGAGAGAGAGAAGAGGCAGCAGATAGAAACGGGAGAGACAGCCAAAAGAGAGGGCCGGTTCACACCACAAAGTCTTCGTTCCAGAGTGTTCGGCCTCTAGAATAATATGGTATTTTCTGAATGTAACATTCACTCTGGAAAGAAAATATACAGCACTAATAAAGTTTTTTCTCCATTTGCACAGAATTAACATACAGGGAGTTTTGCAGGACAATTGGCTGTGTGAATTTTTAATAAATACATCCCTATGAGTGTTCTGTGTATTTGTGAACCCTGCTTCGAGCAGCAAACTGAGACAGATTTGCACAGGTCTGCTAAAGATGAGACAGAATTCCACTTCAGATGCATAATTGACAAGGGGCAGGTTTTAGAACTCATGTCAATGGGTATTATTTTTCTGCATTTTTCATGCATTTGGAAATGCACGTTAAACGCAGGTCAGCAAAATCCCATTGACTTTAATTGAGCAGTACAGAGGCTGTGATTGGCCTGCTTTGCATTTCTGTTTCTTTGGTGATACTGCAGTTTTTTAAAATACCATTGCGGATTTTCTATTGCGATATTGAGGTCCCATTCGTTGCAATGGTTGCATTTGACAAGCATCACGCCTGCCAAACATGACATGCTGTATACTTTTTGCTGATACGCAAAGCATTGCAGCTGCGGCAATGTATACATCGATGTTCAGCCGCATCTGGCAGAGGTTCTAGCCCTTCCTCACTCTATACAAAAAAGACTTAGCTTTGGATACACGTTAACTAGTTCACTGCTGGACCCTACCTCCCATTTTTCACCTCAGGTGGTTGGACCATTTTTGCTATTTTTCTTTTACAGATTTCAAAGTAAAAGACTCCTCAAATTTCATATTCTCTGAACGCATGGGACCTGCAGAATTAAAAGAATGCGCTTTTGATTTTTTTTTAATGCCACATTATATATAAGTAAATGTTTATCAAATCTGTATTTTCTATAAAAATATACAAAAAATATTATTTGCACACAAAAAGAAAGTTCAAAATGTATACTAAATCTGAAAGATAAAACTGTATAGTATAGTATAATAAATAACATATATTTGTCAACTTTAAAT